ATTTGCTGTCATGTTAAACTTATATTAAAGTTTTTCTTCATTACCCATTTAAGCCGTCTCCAGCCATTATTAGCAATCCATATACTTTCTGTACAGTCAGTAACTTAACAATCTTTCACAAACAAATGGACCGGGTTTGAACAAAGGTTAACTTACGGGACCGTGAGATTGAGGGTTCGCGTCTCATTATCGTTAAAATTACACTCCGCACTTTGGGACCGTGAATGCGTTATAAGAGTGAAATATCAGAGCAAACTTTAGAGTCATTCCAATGCTTACTTTGAGATTGGACCAGCATTGACTCTCGAATATTGATTTGATAAGACTTTCATAAGTCACTGGGACTAATGAATCGTTTAATAAACTTAAACTGCATAAACTGCAAACTTGCCACAATTAGAAAAGTAAGTGGAAGTCATCTCGTGAATCTTAAAACTCCAGAAGTAATTACAGTATTGTAAGAAGCTGTTGGATATGGTAAAGTTCTAAGAAGATATATGATGTGGTAAGATGAACAGTCCTATTTTTTTGATATTCTTAGGCAATAACTGACAAAGGTTCTCATGATTAGACTTAAATAACTTTTATATACGAGTTTGAATCTTGTCTATCACGTGACTAAAGATTTAAAATAATTCCAGGAAATGGTACATATTTTAGCTGCGTTCCTAAAATCTGTTGATGATACCCTGTATAAATGATTCATGCAAATTCCGAACACTACAATTCTAACAATTTGTTGGTGTGGTCTTGAGGTAGAGTTTGAAGTTTTCTTTCCTCTTTTTTTCAGAATTCCAGGCTATAACATTAAAAAATTGAAAGGCTACATAAAATAATTTCTAAAGAACCAGATGTTTTGTGTAATTATTGCAATCAGAAATAAAGAATATAAAAACTAATTTAAGATGTTTGGCACAGTCGGCTCCAGTGATTAGATACGAAAGGAAAATAGTTTCATAAGTTTATCACAACTAACATCACGTAAAACTATTTTTATACACATATACATCATATTTCTCCAACCTTAATAATTCGAGAACTTAAAAATAGTTTAATAAACATGACACTTCAGTTTAAAATCTAAATAAAGATGGCAACAGTTAAGAAATTGCTTATGGGTATCAGCATGTAAATGTGAACAAAAACTCAAGTTCGTTGTAACATGCTTTAGGTGAATACAGCGAATATGATCATTTATCGTCATTTTCGTGATTCTAAATGGAGAACGCAATTTTCATAAAAAAGAATTTGTTGATTAACCAACTGAGACCTCTGCTCAATCAGACCAGTTTTGATGAGGATTTTGTATGAAACTATAGTCTTCAAAAACTCAGATTTTCACACTAGTTTTAGTACATGTCCTATTTGTACATTCTATTATGTCAATCATAAATGGTAGCTTTAGTTTCGCTCAAACGAGTATACAACTATTTAAGCAAGAAATAAAAGTATAAAAGAAACAGTTACATCTTTATTTTAAAAGTTAATTTCAAATCATGATAATGCAGTACGAGATATCAACCCTTCAATCAGATTTTAATTAGTACACATTGCTCCAGAAAAAAAAAATCAGATCTATTATTTTATGTATCTATTTTAAGTCACTATTTTGTCATTGTTTTTCGTTGAAGGTATACATTATATCATTACATAGCTAAAACACGTAAATATTAAAATATATTTCTTAGTGTTGAAAAAACTTGACATTCAAATATAACAAAAAATGATGAACCCCAAAATGATGATGAAGTTTAAATAGTTAGAATGAAATAATTGAATGTGGATGACGTTAGTTGTCGTCTTTTGTTTCAGCTCCAGCTGGTTACAAATATCACGATGGATCGTTCTTCAAGTTCTATGCGACACTTAAATATAACTCTGGAGCAGTTACGTCTTGCGAGATGAACGGAGGCCGCCTGGCCATGATCAAAGATCAAGCTACAGTAGACTTCTTAAAGAATACGATTTTTGCGTCTGTGACCAACGTCTATGTTTGGATTGGAGTTCGGAAAATATCGAATGTTTGGCAATATGCACCAACAGGTTTTTCAAACTGGCATCCTCCAATGGAACCTTCAGGAGATGGTCCCTGTGTGGAGATGAGGGAAGTTTGGAACTACGAATGGAACGATTTACCCTGCAATTATAACAAAAATTTCTTGTGTGAAATTGTAATTCCTTAAAATATGTTTTGGACATTACACTAATATCTATGGCGTTATTCTTTGATAAGCAGCATCAGAGTGATGAAAGAGTTTTATTCCAACACTTGTCAACAAAATTACCCTTTTAGAAATATATAAAAATTAATGACTTTAGTTCCGTTTTTCCAATTTTCAATGTACTACAATTAAGAAAATGATCATGCATCATTTATTGTTAAAAAATAATATGCCCATCACACACTTTTCTTTCCTGAAATCTCTGTTTTCAACACACAACTGTTGCTTATACAGTTGTTCATTTACAAGTTATATGTAGTTGAAAAATAAATAACTATCTAATGAATAACTTGAAGTGTTCTGTTCATAGATTTCCCAACATCTTAGGCCGAGTTAGAAAACGCTAAGTTGTTAATATCATGCTTGTCCGAGCCTAATCTGTACATACTTTTTATATTGAAATGTATCCTTGTTCTTCAGTGTCTGAGCTTGTTTCTTGGTTTTGTGTAATTAACTCTCTATGTACCATATTCAAACGAAACGTTGGTGATCATGGTCTTCCACAGATCTCTTCTCCTTGAGACACAAAGAATTTCTAGTGTTGATACATTCATCCACTTAGATAGATTCTTGATATATGCCAACCTCTGTCTTTCACGGTTTTTTCTTCCTTCAATCTTTCTAGTTACGACTAATTTCAATTTCTTCTTTCCTCATAAAGTGTCTGAGAAACTTCAACTGTCTTTTTATGATGTTAGTCAGCAGCTTTCTCTTGCAACCAGCTCTTGACAAAATATCTTCATTTGAGGTGTGGCTTGTCCAACATACCTTCAAGATGTGCCTTACGAACCACAAGTCAATTGCTTCAGTTCTCATTTCTACACTTGGTAATATTGTCCAACATTTTGATGCACACGTGAAAATTGTTATACCATAACAATTCAAACTCTTAACTTCGACCTGAAAGAAATTTTACTATTTATCACTATTTGTGTGTGTTTCAGAAATACGCCTTTTTTCCATCCCTATTCTATGTTTTATTTCATGATCACATTTATCATCTAATGTTATCCAGCTTCCCAAGTAGTTCAATCTCTTGACCTGCCTTACCTGTTCCTTATCTACTTTGACAATACATACACCAACGACCTTCTTCTTTGTAACTACCATATATTCTGTTTTCCTAAGGTTAATACTTAAACCCTTTTTCCTACTTTCACTAACAACTTTATCTAAAATTTTTTGAAGCTTCTCTTCTGAATCAGCTATTAAAACTTTGTCATGTGGCATAACGCAAGTTGTTCAAATTCTCTCCGCCAATGATTAGCCTTGGAATATCTTCAGTCTCCCTCAGGATTTTTTCACTGTACAATATACAAGTCAGGTGAGAAGACACAGCTTTGCCTCACGTCTCTCTTAACTTGGATAAATCATTTAATTCATTTTCTATTTTTACTGCTGCAGTTTGGTTCTAATATAGGTTTCTTAAAATTATCAAGTCAATATTGTTTGTTTGTTTATCATTTTAGCAAAGCTACATTTGGCTATCTGCTGTGTTCACCGCGGAGAATCGAATTCCAGATTCTAGCGTTGTAAATCCATAGACTTATCGCTGTCTCACCTGGGACCTCAACGCTTTACCATCAACGTCCAGTTCTTCCAGCATTTTCATTAAATCCACATGCTTGACTCTATCAAAAGCTTTGGTAAAATTAATAAAACACAAAAAAGGTCTTTCTTCATTTCTATTCCCTCTTCGAAAGCATTCGTATCATGAAGATAGCATTTCTTGTACCATGATCTTTAATAAAACCACATTGAACTTTTACAATCTCCGGTCTTATTCTACTTCTAACTCTCATCATCATCATCAGTATTTTTGTCATATGGCTCATTAAAATGATGGTTCACATCCAGTTGTTCCAGGTCTTTACTGAGATCCTCGGTTATTTCACCACGTTCATAAATCTCATTGATAATAGTTGTTAACTTCTCTATACCAAATTCTTCTCAACATCTTATTTATTCAACTACATTTTCGTCTGTCCTGTAGCTTTATTGGTTTTCACTCTGTTAATAACTGTTCGTACTTCTCACTTAACAATTTTCAATCCGTCCATGTTCTTCTTAGTAGATGGCTTTCCTTCATTTACCTGTGATGTCTTTGATATTCCTATACATTGATGTAACAACTTTATTCTCTTGTTTTTCTATTTCTGTAAATTTTTTCAATAAGCAATTTTTCCTTTTCTTCTCTGCACATTGATCGAATTATTTTGTCAACTTTCTTATACTCTTATTATACTACGGGTTTTCATCGTCCTTCTACCTATGAGTTTGTTTATTTGAATGTAGTCACAAAGCTACATAATGGGCTATTTGTGCTCTGCCCACTACAGGTATCGAAACCCGGCTTCTAACGTTGTAAGTACGCAGACATTCCGCTGTGCCACTGGGGGGGGGGGGCTATCTATAAGTAACACAATAATTTCAAACGCGTAGGTAACGTAATAACTGTTACTTAGGTTATTTAGCACTTTTTCACCAATATTATAAGCCATGAAACACTTTGCTGACTGGAATTAAAAACCATTAACATTTTCTGACTGTATTATAAGCAATAATAACTTTTTGAACGACATATAAACCATTAGCACTTTCTGACAGGTAGTATACGCCATTAACACTTTCTAACGGGTATTATAACCCACTGACACTTTCTAACGGGTATTATAAGCCATTAACACTTTCTAACCGGTATTATAAGCCATGAAAAACTGTGTGATGGGTTAATATTACAAGCCGTTAAACACTTTCTGACAGATATTATAAACCATGAAAAACCTTCTGACGGTATTATACGCCATTAACACTTTCTAACTGGTATTATGCGCCATTAACACTTTCTAACCGGTATGATAACCCACTGACACTTTCTAACGGGTATTATAAGCCATTAACACTTTCTAACCGGTATTATAAGCCATGAAAAACTGTGTGATGGGTATTACAAGCCGTTAAACACTTTCTGACAGATATTATAAACAATGAAAAACCTTCTGACGGTATTATACGCCATTAACACTTTCTAACTGGTATTATAAGCCATTAACACTTTCTAACCGGTATTATACGCCATTAACACTTTCTAACTGGTATTATAAGCCATTAACACTTTCTAACTGGTATTATAAGCCATTAACACTTTCTAACGGGTATTATAAGCCATTAACACTTTCTAACGGGTATTACAAGCCATGAAACTGTTTTTGACGGGTATTACAAGCCATCAAACACTTCCTGACGAGCATTATAAGCCATTAAAAACTCTTTGACAAGTATGATAAGCTATGAAGAACTTACTGACGAGAACTATAAGCCATGGAATGCTTTTTGACAGGAATTATATGCTATAAACACTTCCTAGTTAAACAGACGAAAATAGTAATGTTACAAATATATTTACTTTAAGAAAAGTTTCTGTGTCTTCGTTCATTTGTGTTTGTTTGTTTTTGAATTTCGCACAAAGCTACACGAGGGCTATCTGCGTTAGCCGACCCTAATTTAGCAGTGTAAGACTAGAGGGAAGGCAGCTAGTCATCACCACCCACCGCCAACTCTTGGGTTACTCTTTTGACCAACGAATAGTGGGATTGAACGTCACATTATAACCCCCACGGCTGAAAGGGCGAGCATGTTTGGTGTGACGGGGATTCGAATTCGCGCCCCTCTGATTTCGAGTCGACGGCCTTAACCACCTGGCCATGCCAGGCCCTGTTCATGTGTGTGTATACCCTTAAACTGAAGTATTTAGCAAGCGATGTAACAGATCTGACTATTGGTCCAAAAATCCTGTCGTCAGTTGTAATACAAAAATCTGGGTTCTTTCGCTCAACTAAGTATAAGTAGCGTTGTAATAATGAATTTGATATGTTTATTGTTATAACCGTCGCAGGTGTAAAGGTAATAGAGAAGCACTTAACCTCTTATTAATGATATAATAAGTAGAGGACTAAAAGCATTTGAACTCGCATTTCACCATGTTTTATGAGATAAACCTTTTTAGTGGCATATAACAACAAAAGTCATCAAACATTTAGAATTAAAACCTGTTTTACTCTAACATGAAATCAACATATGAAAATTAAAAAAACAATACACACACACACATATATATATATATATATAAATCAAATACATTACAAAAAGACTCAAGAATCAAAACTAATTCTTCCATTACCAGTCCTTGTTGTCATCATTAAAACTCATAACGGATAGTGTCTATAGCCATAAAACCCAAACGCGTTAGGGAAATCCCATTTCTCAGACAAGATTCAGACGCCGATGTTAAACTAACCAGTAATTAAGGAAAATCATATTAAGGTTTGGAGTTAAATGCTTGCACCTATAACCTTACAACTCCTCCTGCCTCTCGCTGTCTGCAGTCAATTGTAGGAAGGCAGTTACAAAAAAAAGATCCATTAAAAGTACCTGTAGCAAAGCAGTTTCTAGTGATATTTCATAATACTACTAACGCTTGGTCAACTGACGGCTCCCAGGTTGTCTCTTGTTACCCCATTAAGATCACTTTTCGTACAACAACAGTCCTATACAAATAATTCCAATACAAAAACTCTTGTGCCCGGCATGGCCAGGTGGTTAGGACACTCGACTCGCAATATGCGGGTCGCAAGTTCGAATCTCCGTCCCACCAAACATGCTTGCCCCTTTCAGCCGTGGGGGCGTTAT